TAATACAAGACACAAATCATTCTTTGATATCCCTCGCGTCCATCTCTCCCTGTTCAAAAAACGCTATGCACATAAGGGTCCGAAGATCTGGAATTCATTACCAGAACACACTAAAGGACCCCTGCCTGCAAATCAATTTAAGGCCCTACTTAGAAATCTCCTCATCACCCAAAATTAACCAGACAAGCTGCACTTAATACCCACCATTTACTCAAAAGCAACACAAAAAAGTACCAATAATATCTCAATTTCAATACTGAATATTGTGCTGAAGATTGCTCAACCATGTACTCATTATTTCAAAAACAGGATGTTCAAATTTCATTGTTTTGAATACTAAATTATAATACTTCATACTGTAAATTGTTTAAATTGTTCTATTGTAAAACTGTAATGCTTCAAAATTGTAATGTTCGAATTTCATCGTTTTAAATACTCAATTGTACTTCATATTGTAAAATGTTTAAATTGTTTTATTGTAATACTGTAATTTTTATAAAATAATTCCAAAAATAATTATTCATACTAAAACTTTTTCTAAATAGACCTATTAAAGCCATATAGCATTACCTATTAATACTCAATGCTCGTGTACTCACTGTAACTCACCTAATGACCATTAATCTGTTATAGCCTAATTAAATATTAAGTTAATTTTAAGTTTGCCCAAAATGCTCTGCTTACAAGAGGCTTTTGGCATGTACACTCTACTATTATATTCCTTTGTACAACTATGTACCATGTCAAAATAAAATATTATTATTATTATTATTATTATAGAGAGTACATTAGCTCACCCTCATTATTGAGATCACAAGTGTGGGCAGAGAAAGGTAACCCATGGTTTCTTTGTCATTTCTCCATATTCAGTAGGGATACCTTAAAAAAAATGACCATTCTTGCTTGGTTCAAACCAACGTGGCACCAAGCAACTGTAGGTGAGCATTTGTTTTCATTTCCAATCTCATCTACTGTAATCTATTTCTTTGTAATTAAAATCCTGTGCTTTTATAATTTTTGCTTTTCCATGGAAGACTTTGAGTAATAATTAGAAAAAATGATATAGGATGGATAGAGATGCTATATGGCTGGTGTTGTAAATGCAAGAAACAGGTGGCAAGATGTTAAAAGCTGTATACAGTAGTCCCCCATATCTGCGGTGATATGTTCTAAGACCTATTATAGATGCCAGAAACTGTGGATAATAGTGAACCCTATATGTAAATCATTTTTCGTTTACATACATACCTATGATAATGTTTAATTGATAAATTATGCAAATAAGTTGAGAATTGGCACTTTTTTACCAATGGGAAGCACTTCATGGCTTCTTTTAGGTTTTGAAGAACTGCTACCATCACTACTTTTGTGCTTTAGTGTCATTATTAAGCAAAATTAAGGCTTATTTTCAGGCCACGGTAAACAGTGGATAAATGAAACGGCAGAAACCAAATCCAGGATATAGGGAAGTTCTACTGTGTAGAGTTTTTACAAGAGGGTAAGAAGTGCAGAGGATGTGACTGCATTTATATATCTAAGAGTAGATGTGTCAGCAAACAGGCCTATGAAAGATGAAGCAAATCACAGAAAAAAAAAGCCAACAGGAAGGTTATTTAAAGGAAGAAGTTTGTCAATATACCTTACGTAAAAGAGGTACATATCAGGAAGAACGGTGCTGACAATTTTATATGGGTGTGAAGCAAGGAGAAGATTGGAGACAATGGAGATGCAATGTCTGATGTCAGAGTGTGATGCAAATACATATGGTAGCAACTTTATTGGTAGTGCCAACAAACTTGCCAATGTTGTCTCTTACCACCTAGATCACAGTGAGACAATATTAAACATAGAGTACTGAACTGTGCCAAGAGCAGCATATTACTTTATACCTGCTCACACTAGTAAATTGCAACCTGGTTATTGCATTTTAATAAACTTATGTCACATGCTAAGGTCACACGTGAGGGTACAATTCTGCAATAAGACTTGATTGGTATCCAAGTTTCTATGTACAGTACAGGACAGATATTTCACTTAGCTACCTAGACACTGATTCTTATCTACTATGTTACCAGTTTTACCAGCACTACCAACAGACTTTGTGAGGCTTGAATGGGGATAGTTATTAAGTAATATACACCTACTTACACTATTCAGTACTTAAACTGCAATTTTTCTTCATTACAATTTGTATCCTAGGTATTGTACTGTATAGTATTTGAAATCTCCAAATAACCTCAGTATATTGAAGTATTCTATAGCTTTTAAAGGTTCCTTTAATTTTCTGCCAACTAGCTGCCACTAGTGACTGTTGTTAGCATGACTGCCATTAGCTATATGACTGCTGTTGGCAGTGTGACTACCATTAGCTATATGACTGTTGTTGACAGTGTGACTGCTATTAACTATGTGACTACCATCAGCTGTGTACATGCCATTGGTTATGTGACTGCCATTGGTCGTGTAGTTGCCACTGGTTTTGTGACTGCCATCAGTTATGTGACTGCTATCAGTTGTGTGACTTCTAGCAGTTGTGTGACTTGCTATCAGTTGTGTGAATGCCATCAGTTGCATGACTGCTATCAGTTGTGTGACTGCCACAAGCAGTGTGACTGAATGTTTATAAGGAACAATGAGGAAACATTAGCAATTGTTATCACTGCCAACGAACTTTGATTTCACAAGCTCAATGTTTTTTTTTTATTTATTATCACACTGGCCGATTCCCACCAAGGCAGGGTGGCCCGAAAAAGAAAAACTTTCACCATCATTCACTCCATCACTGTCTTGCCAGAAGGGTGCTTTACACTACAGTTTTTAAACTGCAACATTAACACCCCTCCTTCAGAGTGCAGGCACTGTACTTCCCATCTCCAGGACTCAAGTCCGGCCTGCCGGTTTCCCTGAACCCCTTCATAAATGTTACTTTGCTCACACTCCAACAGCACGTCAAGTATTAAAACCATTTTGTCTCCATTCACTCCTATCAAACACGCTCATGCATACCTGCTGGAAGTCCAAGCCCCTCGCACACAAAACCTCCTTTACCCCCTCTCTCCAACCTTTCCTAGGCCGACCCCTACCCCGCCTTCCTTCCACTACAGACTGATACACTCTTGAAGTCATTCTGTTTCGCTCCATTCTCTCTACATGTCCGAACCACCTCAACAACCCTTCCTCAGCCCTCTGGACAACAGTTTTGGTAATCCCGCACCTCCTCCTAACTTCCAAACTACGAATTCTCTGCATTATATTCACACCACACATTGCCCTCAAACATGACATCTCCACTGCCTCCAGCCTTCTCCTCGCTGCAACATTCATCACCCATGCTTCACACCCATATAAGAGCGTTGGTAAAACCATACTCTCATACATTCCCCTCTTTGCTCCAAGGACAAAGTTCTTTGTCTCCACAGACTCCCAAGTGCACCACTCACTCTTTTTCCTCATCAATTCTATGATTCACCTCATCTTTCACAGACCCATCCGCTGACACGTCCACTCCCAAATATCTGAATACATTCACCTCCTCCATACTCTCTCCCTCCAATCTGATATTCAATCTTTCATCACCTAATCTTTTTGTTATCCTCATAATCTTACTCTTTCCTGTATTCACCTTTAATTTTCTTCTTTTGCACACCCTACCAAATTCATCCACCAATCTCTGCAACTTCTCTTCAGAATCTCCCAAGAGCACAGTGTCATCAGCAAAGAGCTCAATGTCTTTTTTCAATATTCTTTATGTCTCACTTATTCTTACACTTTTTAAAACACTACTACCGAGTTTACCTACGATCAAATGTGTGCATAATACTGTTAATACAGCTATGTGAGTTTCCTCATAAATGTTCATTATCCATTTCTGCCTTAGTTTTCATGAAGTATTGTATTTATTGACATACAGGTAAACTGTACCCACATATGATACTTATTTGAAATTGGTAACTAAAATGTGCTGGTGTCTTAATACAATGACTCACAGATAACTCATCACTCCACATCAGCCTACAAGTGAATGCTGCAGTAGATAGCACAAATGACCAATGAAGATAATTTAGTAGACACTGAAAAAAAATACTATGTAATATGGATATAAACTGCAGCCATCTTCAGGGCCTGATCAACATTTTTTAAACTACTGTGTTGAAACCACAATAAATAAGTAGTGAAACTTTAACAAACAGCAAGTAAACAATTTGGGCCAGTATAATATACATATTATTAATATAAATATATAAAGTTAATCACAAATCTTGCAAAAACTAATATCTGAAATCTACTTTTTTTAATGGAGAAAGGCAAAGGAATGTGTAATTTTTAAGTTGCTTTAGAAGACTTAAGTACTGCAAGTTTTAGCAGGGATAAAAACATAGGGTAAACACAAAGGTAGGGTCACATCTCTTGCAAGCTCACTAATCTACATTTCTTAGCTGATGTCACAGGCTCTAGTGTTTGAATAATTTCGTATTACACCAAGAGGTTATAATCAAAGGAGTTAACTGCAATTTATATAACAGTAATAAAAAGCCTGAAGTCTTACAGGGTGTTTACAAGTTAATTTAGGTAGGTTGGGATAGATTAGTGTGTATTAAATCAAAATTAAATGTTAAAATATAATGAGCAGTTAACCGAGTGGTTGCTTGGATTAAAGAGCATAAATATGTATACAAGTATATATAAATATACAGTACATATATATACCTCATGCAACTTATTGAATTTTCCATCTGAAAACTAAACATATTCAATCACATCTGTATTTAAGGACAAATTACTATGTTATTACTATACCACAAGTGTGCATTTTACAAGACATTCATTTACAAAAAATCTTTAAACTGTCTCAAAATAATAAAATAAACTATGAAGGTGGTGCATAAAACTCTTTTTCACCAAGACCAACAATTACCTACCCTACAAAATTTGATCTTGCAAAAGCTACATATTTAATGTGCAAACATTCACCAAACAATCACACAAGTGCATGTATTCACCTGGAGTACATTTTGGTCAGTTGCGAAGTTGTATACACAAATCCACTCCTCCTCTTACTGTAAAGTAATTAATTCTTTCATCAACACATAAGGCCATAATTCAGCAACCTCCTCCATTTGATAGAAAGGAAGGTACATAGTTAACTCTCTCATAACAAGATCTTCACTGGAATTCAGACACTACTCCTTCAAGGGGTAGTGTCTTGATTTCGGTGAATGACTTCATGATCCCAGGAAGTGGAGTTGTCCTCATCTTTAGATCCAACAAAATTATCTCCCATAAGTTTCCTCTCCTAAGTGCAGGTTATTTGTGTATGATTACCTCCAATTTCCCTGGCACTGTGTGATGGCAGTAGGTTTGGTGCTTCCTCGTAATAAAAATAGTAATTAATAATAATGTAATACTGTAATTGTAATAATAATATAATACTGAAATAATAATAATATGTAATAATAATATACTACTGCATTACTGTTTGAGGGAAATGTGTGGTGTGGATATCATGCAGGAAATTCAGAACACAGAAATTAAAAGACAATGTAGGGTCACCATGGGTATAATTCAGAGGGCTAAGGAGGGATTATTGAGGTGCTTTGGGCATGTAGAGAGGATGGAGAGGGATAGGCTCAGGGTAAAAAACGTTTTGAGCTTCAGAAGTTTTGAGCATCTAGATAGGTTTTTGTGAGTGTTGTCAGATAGGAGTATGTAGAGACAAGTAAATTTCAATGACTGTTGTTGGTGTGAGAGCACGGTAACATTTATGAAGGGATTCAGGGAAACAGGTTAGCCGGATTGGAGTCTTGGAGGTGAGAGGGCAGTGCCTTCACTCTGAAGAAGGGGTGGGGATTGTAGCAGTTGGAGGCTAACTTGAACTGTGATATAAGCACACTTCTGGCAAGGCAGCAAGTGAATGAATGATGGTGAATGTGTTTTCTTCTTTGGGTCCCCCCCCAACTTAGCAGGAGATTGCCACAGACATGAAAATAGTAGTAGTAGTAATAATATTAAAATAATAGTAATAATAATACTAGTACAGTAATAGAAATAAATACAGTGGTACCTTGACTTACGAGTTTAATTCGTTCCGTGACTCAGCTCGTAACTCAATATGCTCGTATATCAAATCAATTTTCCTCACTGAAATTAACCGAAATGCCATTAATCCATTCCAGCAGAATTCCTGTCTCTCGGGAGGCAGGAGAAAATACTTTAGTACAGTATATAACACTAATATCAACTCTATGGAGTGTTTGTGAAGTTAACTGCATTAGTTCACTAGTTTCATAAGGAAAACACTGAAACAAAAGCAATTTTCCCAGATTTTTTTTTTCTGAGTCAGGAGACTGGCCTACGTTTTGGGTGAATATCTCGGAAGTAAATCGGTGCAAATGCCTCGTGCCTTCTCACAGAGAAGGCACAAGGCACGAAGTACATACTATGCTTGTACTGCCTCACTGAATTGACTACACGCCACTTGTGTTTTTCTATGATTTCATGCTTTAATTCAATGGACATCATCATCATCATCTTCTCAGCACTGTCCTTTGCACTTACTTTCTTAGGACCCATGGTTAGAAAAAACAAATTTGGCAAAATAACTGCACAAAACGCAAGCACAACACAAGAGATGCTTCCATGGTGAGGTAACCATATACACTGTTGTGCCATTAGCTGCACCAACTAGTGGTGGTGTATCTGAAGCTCACTCGTAACTCGGATTTTGGCTTGCAATTCAAAGCAAAAAATCAACAGAGCAACGGCTCGTAACTCAGAAAACTCGTAAGTAGAGGCACTCTTAAGTCAAGGTACCACTGTAATAAAATTTAATGTGTGGCCCAAAGGACATAAAAACATAAGAACATAAGAAAGAAGGAACACTGCAACAGGCCTACTGACCCGTGCGAAGCAGGTCCATCCCACCCCCCGGCTTAGAACAATGGCCACCTAGTCAGGTCACTTCCACTTAAGGAAGGAGCACGGCACAAGACCTGGTAGCACAAGCTAGTCAGGTCCAATTCACACCCACCCACACCCACTCATGTATTTACCAACCTGTCCTGTCTTGGCTGGATATTTTCAGCATGCTATTTACATCCCCTTTATTTATTCCTGTTTTCCATTTACATATACACCTCAATCATATCCCTCGAATTCTATGCCTTTCTGGGAGTGCAGATTCAGGGCCCTCAATCTATCCTCATGGGGAAGATTTCTGATACATGGGATCAGCTTTGTCATCCTCCTCTGTACGTTTTCCAGTGCATTTATATCCATTCTGTAATATGGTGACCAGAACTGTGCAGCATAATCTAAATGAGGCCTAACCAAGGATATATAGAGTTGAAGAACAACCTGAGGACTTCTATTATTTATACTTCTTGATGTGAAGCCAAGGATTCTGTTAGCTTTATTGCAAACACTTATGCACAGTTGTCTTGGTTTCAGATTACTGCTAACCAGAACTCCTAAATCCTTTTTGCAGTCAGTAGTATTAAGATCTACACTATTCAGTTTATAAGTGGCATGGTTATTGTCCTGTCCAACATTTAGAACTTTGCATTTGTCTATATTAAACTGCATCTGCCACTTCTCCGACCACTGCATCAGTCTATTCAAATCATCCTGGAGTGCACTAATGTCCTCAACAGAATGAACTGGACGGCCTATTTTGGTGTCACCAGCAAATATGCTTATGTCGCTATTTATTCCCTCATCTATGTTGTTTATGTAGATTGTGAACAAGGGGCCCAACACTGACCCCTGTGGAACACCGCTCGTGACATGCCCCTATTCTGATTTCCCCCATTTATGCAAACTTTGCTGCCTGTCAACCATGCCTCTACCCAGGAAAAATTTCTCTTATTCCATGTGCCTATTTACTTTACTATAATGTTAATTGATGTTCCTGCATAAAATGAAGGTAAATAACGTAAAGTGTTTGAATCAAACAATGTTTCTGCTTATTTATAAATATTTGTGCCTAGCTTTATTTGTAGATATGCGAGATTACAGTACCTGAGCTTGTAGATGTGATTTATTATTATTATTATTATTATTACTATTATTATTATTATTATTATTATTATTATTATTATTATTATTATTATTACTACTACTACTACTACTACTACTACTACTCAGTAAAACTTTGATGTAACATACCCCGTTTCAACAGATTTTGGATTTAACATAAATATTTTTTGCCAGACAATGTCCAAAAACACTGGACAAAATTGGTTAAATCCAGAACTGATCATTATTGTTACAAACATAGAAAATATCTCATCATTCAGATTTAACAGACAATCAGCATTAAGGACACCCTTCCTCCCATTTATTTTTAAATCAAGGTTTAACTATATTTACAAGGGGACTAAACCCATAGGAGTCATATAGTGCCTGGGAAAATAGGAGGTACTCAGATCCTATGAAGGGGAGGTCAGATCCAATTCCTTTGATTAAGAGCCCCCTCACCTGCATCAAGGAACCTCACTTAAAGGGGTGTGTGTGATTACTTAATAGTGTTTAATTTTTTCCCTAGTTCTTGAACCTTGCCAGCAGTAATAGCCTGGTTGATCAGGCCCTGGTATACCTTAAGAAGGGTGCCTTAATAGGGGTTAGGGATTTTGACCCAAATAATTGGGGCTACCCTTATGTCTCTGAATCAAACCTAAATGCCTCCCTTTTCCCTGGCAGTGTAGTGTAATATATCCCTGACCCCTGTGTGCTCTGTTGTGGATGCTAGCATGCATGTGCATAGATACTAGCAAGTGTGTGCATAGATGCTAGAATGTGTGCATAGATGCTATTATATATGCATTTTGGATGCCAATATGCATTTGCATGGATGTCAGTTGCATGTGCATAGCTGCCAGCATGCATGTGTGAGGGGAGGCTAGTGCATGTGCTACATGGAGAGAGCTGCTAGGGTACATAGGAGGGGGTGCTAGCATACACAGGAAAGGATGCTATTATATATAGTAGTGCCTAGCATACACAAGAGGGGATATCATACATGGATATATAGTGTACATGGGAGGAAATGCTCTCATACATGGGAACAGTGTATGTACATGGGAAGGTGCTATCGTATATGGGAGTGATATTGTGCATGAGAGGGGGTGCTACCATACATTGGAGAGGGGTGACAGTGTACATGGGAGTTCTTGTTCACATGCGAGTGAATGCTAGCATACACGGGAGGGGGTATTAAATGTACATTTGTGATTACCTTTTTATTGTTACAAGAGAACTATGTTGTAATATACTTCATTTATTCATTAAATTTATCTTGCATATATTTCCAGTGATTTTGCTCATACTGCCTCCTCCAAAAGCCCATTCCTGGCATTCACAATTCGTATGATAAAACAGTACTTCCTACTGTCCTTCCTGCACCACTTATACATAATTTTAATGTGTGATTTCTAGGTCTCCATATAGATGCTTTCAACAGATTTCTATCTGTTTTTTCACACCGATTTGTAAGCATCTTACAATAATGCATTTGATTTTTTCTTTTGTAATGAGGATATTTCCAGTGCCTTCAATCTTTCATTAACAAGTAATTCATATTGAATTTCTTAATTCTGGAATTCATTTTGTTGCACCTCTTTGCAGTTTTTCTATTTTGTTTATAGATTTTTTGGTGTCACCACAATTCATATTGTAATTTGAGTGTAACATATTTTGTGCTATCACCTTCCTTCGGTGCAACAAAGAGCTCGACAGCAACTAGTGCCTAGGGTGGGTGAATGGTCATCTGTGTGAACAGAGATGCCCAAAAAAAAAAAAAACAAGATGTATGGAAATAAAAAACACAGACATGTATCAGAAAAAGAAAACTTATGATTTTTAGTTTAAGCAACTATGGCACTGCATTGAATCTCATTCAGAAATGAAATTATTCTCAATTTCTTGAAATGTTCTGTACAGTAGCAAATGCAAATTTGTGTCTTCTAAATATGAGAAATTTTCTTATGAGTGTCCTGTAAAAAAGGAATCGCTCAATCGTGGGTTATTTACACGTGTTTAATCCAAAGTGAAATGTAGATAT